ATATAAGTACTTTAGGGCCAATGTATATAGTATTTGGGCACATGGACCCTTAGGGGAATGCTGGGGCCTCTATAGGGTAATGTATGGGGCCTTAATAATCAGAAAAGGGCTTTGGGGCTCCTTTAGAGCATTAACATAATAAGGAGCCCTAATTATTTAGGCTTCTCTGGTACCTTAACGGTGGGTTCCTTTAAGGGTACTCCAGAACAAGCGAAAGATGACTCAAACTCCTACCCGCCAACAACAACAACACCACAGCCTAAACCGTCAAGCTGTGCACCCCTGCAACATAATAGAAGGGCCTTAATAATTTTAATAGGGTTTGGGAGCCCATTCTACTATATCTATAATAAGGAACCCAGAATAGTATTGGTAATCATTTAGGCCCCTACATTAACGCCGTCTGACATCAAACTCTGGCATGCGCCTCGTCTGCTCGGCGTTGTCTTTCCTATGAGAGCTTTGGGATATGAGTTTGAGACTAAGAGGTTCAGCGTCCAGGACTGAGGGTGCAGATTCAAGGCTGTCGAATAAAGGGGCCTTAGAACAGGGTTTCACGGTAGAGCTTACTTCATGCTATTGCCGGAGGGACAATATCGGACAAGCCAGGCGAGGTTCCAAGTATCTGGGTATCAGGGATCTATTATGGGTACATGGACGCTCAGGGCAGATCATCACACAAGTGACAGCACGTTTTCCCCTCCCTCTTACAGCTTGACTTAAGGGTGACATGCCGGCATAGAAGCTCCGGACTGTAAGAGCTCTTGAAAAGGCACACACTCGCATCTGCTTCGTACTTTTTGCATGTAGCGAGACCGAGTTTAGGGTTTTGGGGTATGGGGTTTAGGGTCACAATCACCACCCACTTCCACATGTCGAAAACATCACCGTCGTCAGCACCACTCATCAAGTCAGCAAATGCCGTAACACCGTCATCACAAACAGCATCAAGACCCCAACTACCTTAATCGCATATTCTGACTCTGGAGACCGTGACATCATGATCAGTCCTAAGTTCAGCTGGTCGATACACGTGACGTCAAGCGTCCAAAGCAATAGCAACAGCAGCTGCCGCAACGGCAACTTACGAACTTCAGTTATGCCCAGAGACTCCAATACCCCTTAATTAAGGAATATACCTTAAATCATATTAGGGATCCTACTATAATTTAAGGTATATTCCTTAATTAAGGGATATTGGAGTCTCTGGGTGTATGAGATCAATCCGACGGCTGCTCCTGCACGAAGTCCTCCTGTATACCGTCTGCCACCACTTTCACCTGCTTCGGGGCTTTTAAGGCTTCGCCGTGAACCCTTTCCCGAAGGGTCCATGCACCCAAAAAGTAGAACATAAGCCCTAAAGTACCCGAATAGGGCTTACATTAAGGCCAATGTTCTACTATTTGGCTACATGGACCCTTAGGGTTTTGCATCCCTAAAACCCTACACTCTCGGGCTTTCTGCGGTTTAGGGCATGTTGAAGGCTTGCGGGCTCTCAGGGCCTTTTAAGGCTGTCGAGGCTTCGGGCTTTTAAGGGGGTAGGGTTTACGGTTTGGAGCATTTAGGGTTGAGGCCTTTTGGCTAAGGCTTTCGACGCGGACGCTCGAAAGCAAAATCCGGGAAGGCCCTAAACCCTAAACCCTAAACCCTTTTGCAACAGGCTTCGTACTTCGCCTGGAGTCGGTCGCCCCTCTGAAGCCCAGCAGCTTTACTGCTGGACAAGACCCTAAACCCCGAACTTTAGGGCTTTCGCCTTAGGGCCTTCAGGCCTTAGAGCTGAATGTAAGGGGCCTTAAATAGTTGAAATAGGGTTTTGGGTATAGTATACTATAACTCTAATAAGGAAGCGCCAAAAACAGTATTAGTAAATGTTTGGGGCTTTTTATATTTTGCTTAAAGGTTGTGGGTTTAGGGTTTAAGGGTTTAGGGTTTGGGACCGTTAGGGCTTTCGGCGGTGTTCAAGTTTCCAGATCCTGGAAACCCCTGTGAAACGCAGCACTGAGGGCATCATACATCGCTTGAGACTGAAGGGGACTTGCGACAACAAACCCTGTGATCTGAAATCCGCAAGCCCACAACCCTAAATTCGCGCTAAACCCTAAACCCTAAACCCGAACCCTAACTCCTAATCCGCCTCCCCAAGCCCCGAATCCAAGAAGTTCATACCGGAACCGCGCACCATTGACAACCCTCTCCAGCTCTAGGCTTCGCGGTTCCGGGCCAAAAACATCTAAACCCTAAACAACTTAAGGGTGGTTCGAGGTATTAGGTTCCCTGTTTAGGTTGCCAAAACAAAAAAAACGCACCCTGGAAAAAGGACCCTAAACCCTAAATTAGAGAAATACGCATAAACTACCCTTATAGAGACCCCCTATGCAAACCCCTACATCCCTAGAAAGGAACCCTAAGAGGGACTATGTCCTAACTTGTCCCATGCCATGGGACGCGCTCCACGGCATCAGCCACTTGTTCGCGAAGCTTCAAGGACTCAGTTCGGATTGAATGGGTTTAGGGTTTAGGGGTTTATAGGGTTTAAAGCTTAGGGCTTATAGGGCCTAAACCCTAAACCCTAAATCCTAAACACTAAACCTGTACATTGCTTTTAGGGGTTTGGGGTTTAGGGTTGGGATCCCCCGGGTCCCTCGAGCGGTTCCGCTAAAGTACACTCGACTCTTTTACACCTGGAAACCCTGAACCCTATCCATCAGTAGCGTATAGGGTCCCAAGTTCGGGGATCTACTTTTTTGGATCCTCCCAGGAGTCTTCCAAGTCGTGTTGAGGGATGTTTCGGGGCTTAGGCTTCAGGCTTTATGTAGGGCTTAAGGGCGTTTTGAAGGCCTGGAAGGATGCCCTAAACCCTAAACCCTAAACCGGTTTCAAAGGCTCGGGTAGTTTGAAGCCAAGGCAGAAGTCCGTCTGGGCGAGGGCTGCATGATCAGGGTATCGGCTCCTGGGTTTAGGGTTTTGGGGTTTAGGGTTCCATTCTGAGTGCCTGGTCCCTGGGCACTGGGTTCCCTGGCACCTCAACCCTAAACCGTCACATGCCCAAACCTGAGCCCGAAACTCGAAGCCCCAAGACATAAAACAGACTAGAGTTACAAAAAGCAAACACTGCTGAGACCACGTCAGGGTTCTAAAACGCTGTTTGAACACAGACTCTGCCGATCAGCAGGGAAGCAGCACTGAATTAATTCAAGCAATCCTTCATCCAACAAAGGACATCATGGACCACTCTCGCCCCTGCAAGCCTCCTGACACCTGTGCGCAGGCATCCTAAAGCACGATTCTAAAACCCGAAAACTGTAAACCATACGAAAGCATACTTCGACCCAAACTCCGGACTGCCGAAGCTGTTCTTCATGTATATACATGCTCGTCCAGTATCTCAAGAGAACTAAAGGTTATATAAGCTTTGGGAGTTTATAGGGTTACCTACTCCACTACTACTTTCATCCTAAGTATAAGCGAGAATTGCATGGAGGAGATCTGGTCTGAGAACCCTACCCTAAACCCTGACCCCTAACCCCTAAACCCTAGAAGTTACCTCCTGAGGATCAGGATCCACGGGGTGTGTGAGTGTGAAGGTTTGGGGTGGGCTGGGGACGGGGCTCTCCGGGGCTTACTTAAAGGATCATGGGACTTAGTAAGTAGGGTTATAACTAAGGTAACTATACTTATAACCCCAATTCCCCATAACGCTACTTACTAAGTCCCATGATCCTCCAAGTAGGTTTGTAGGGCTTAGTTAGAGTTTAATGTTTTACTGTAGGGTTTTAGGGTTTATTTTCGAGCTCTTAGGGTTTAGGGTCTCGGGTTTGAAGGCTTAGGTCTTAGGGTTTGCGCGAAAAGTCGTGAGAGGCTTTAGGACCTCACGCCGACTCTCTGGCTGCGAAGACAATTGTAAACGTCAGACCCAAGAGGACTCTGGCCTCCGACTTAAATCACCCAAAAATCCATGCTGTGAGGGTTACAAGAGTGAAACCCAAAGGGTCCAAAGGACCCACTAATAAGGTACTTTGGTTGTGGGTAGTGTTTAGGGTCTAGGGTTTAGGCTCGTGGATAGTAGTTGTCTAGGTTAACATGTGGGAGAGCATATGATTATTAGGTACTTGGACCCTTAGTGAAATATCCATGGGTGGCCCCCAGATTCCCGACCCAGCTTCTGCAAACCAAACTCCTGGGTTGCGAACAGCAAGCTCCACCTCTCAAGGCTCGTTTGTGTCAGAGGTATCAAAGGGTTCACAGCACTGTGAGTCTCCCTCCCCTCCAGCCTTCCCTGTTCCCTCCTCCTCCCCCTGCATTGTTGCCTCCCCTTCTGCGTGCTCCTGCACTTGTACCAATGCATACAACTCGAACATATAGCACAACATCTCTGGCAACAACATGCAACAGGCAGATGTTGCAACTCATGCATGTGTCTATCAAGCACCATGTGCAAGTTTTCTAGTCACGACACAAAACCACGGCAGTTGTGCACAACTCACGGTCGCTCTCTGCTGTCTGCGCTCGCTGTGGTCAGAAGATGCATAGCCTTCGGATGCCTTATTCGATAGCATGATTGTCTCATCTGCAGAGGTTCAGGGTGCATAAAGCGTCTAGGGTTTGCAGGATGTCGGGTTTACAGAGGGGCTACTGGGTCTAGGGAAGTCTAGGAGCCTTGAGTTAAAGAGTTCAGGATTTAGAGTAATTAGGGTTTAAAGCGTTCAGGCTTCAGGATTTAGAGTTTAGGGTTTATGGCTTGACACGCACTTCAAAGGTAAAACAAGCATCTGGCTACATAGCCCCATCGCTGCCTATCACTGCAACACAAGTTCAGTGAATCTGCAGTTATACGGCTATACATGTGCATGCATTGGTTTTCTTCCAGAGGAACCGTAGTACATCTGCGAACCACTAGCTCCGAAAAGACCAACTACACCGCAGACATGGTCTAACTCCTTGGATTTTGATGGCATTGCGATGGTGCAGGACCGAGTTTCGGTTGCTTACACGCCTTCCTGCTCTCGAAAACTGCTCTGGGGTTCCTCGTTTATAGGCAGGAAACCCATCGCGAATCAAGTAGATCTCAACTAACAGAATTCTGAAAGCGTCACCGGCGTGTCACCTCGCACAGTCATGGCAGTCTATGAAAGCTGCAACTGTGACGGCAGAGGGGGGAGGCGGACAGGCATACCGTCAGCCCGAGAGGGGTGCATGGAAAGCCACCTCTTTCAGTAGCTTGGCCCTAAACTTCATGTAGGGCCACCAAAAAAGACACATAAGCAAAAATCAGGATAAGGATTCCCATACATGCAAACACTCTCATAATGAAGCCCAATAAGGTTGGAGAATCCTTTTACATGCTTCAGCATATGTCCTTTTTTGGGTCCCTAATCACGAGGTGTCGAACCAACAACCAGGAAAGGAGGAAAGGTGCTAAGCCATGTTTCATTGCACGAAGGGTCTCTGTACTAACATAAAGCAGATAACCCCTCAACCCCTGAACCCCTAAACCCTAAACCTATATACATGTATCTTTCAAGGCATTGTAGATACTACATGAACCTGGAGGTTTGGAAATGATTCTACGCTCTCCCTGGCTGGGTGCTGCCCCCGTACCGTAACAGTCTCAATCAGGGTGCCATGCAGCGGCCTTGTATATCTACATTACAACTACAAATATCACTCACCTGTTACTGAGTGGGGGCAGTAATGTAGGGGCCTTAATAATTAGAATACGGTTTTGAGGGTTCCTTAATAAAATTACAGTATAACATACCCTCAAACCCTGTTGTAATTATTAAGGCCCCTAAACCCTGGCCCTAAACCCTTATAGTAGCCCTTATAGAACCTTTAAAGGAACGCTGTAAAGGAACCTCAAACACCCTATTCTAATCATGAAGGCCCCTAACCCCCAAACCCTTATAGTAGACCTTATAGCAACCGTTAAGGAGCTCTTTTTAAAAGGAACCTCAAACACCCTATGCTAATCATTACCCATAGGCCCCGTAGTAGTTCCTTTTGGGGATTACCTTATAGGATTCTAAATATGAACCACAAAAAGGAACTACTATGGGGCCTATGGGGAAGGCCCCTATAGTATCCAACTCCCTGGCCTGCTGCACCTGGCGACTGCAGTGCTCACGGGCGCTGGCCATCTCCCTCTGCACCTGACTCACCGAACTTGCCCCTTTACGGTCCATGTACTGTACTTAGTAGTAGTAGTAGTAGTAGTAGTAGTAGTAGTAGTAGTAGTAGTATAGTAGTAGTAGTAGTACTAATGACAATGTACTTAAAGTAGTAGACATAGTAACGACAATACGAATGTTATTATAAGTAAAACACAAACATTTTGATAACAAGCTACGCAATATGATCTCAACATCGTTGACATAGGAACAAAACAGAACATCTTTGTCTCATGCACTAAGTGACTCTATCTGCTGTTGGAGTGCATGGACGTTAGAGCCATCGAAGCTTTGACAGCAGGAGTTTACATGGGGCACCGTCGCTGTCTGTGGAGGAGAACAGAGCTCTACGACTACCGTTGGGGTTCAGCACTCACACTCGGACAATCCAGGCGAGGCATGCAGTCGTGGGTCGGCGTGATACAACGAGCACAAAGCAATAAAAGCCCCTACGAAACCAAGAACCCGTTAATCAGGATATGCCTCTTCCCACCAGCCCGAGTTCCTGTAATCTGTTTGGCTTAACATGAATGGGTGGGCGCGACGCGCAAGGTACGAGAACCGATCCCTGTCAGAGTTCACCTTGAACTCAAAGTTCCTCATGAACTCTCGAGTTCTTAGGTTGAGTCCGCCAGGAGTAACCCCAGATACAAGTCAAGGAGGACCAGTGATCCAGTAAGAATACTCCTGGCCAAACCCTCAGAAGTGAAAGGTGAATGGTGTTCTGAAGGATCTACCGGATCAAAAACCTCGTTGAAGTTTAAGAACATGTGCCAAACATCGTCCATCTCTACGAATTACAAATTCGACTTTAGGTTTACGGCAAGAAGCAACAACTCCGAAGACTCACTGCAATGCGAGCAGATCCTAAGCCTGATCCCAACAACAAGCCGTAAACACCAAATCCTGAGAACTCATTCGGAGCCACCAGCCAGAAATACGACAACCAAACATTTCTAAACCTAGAGGCCATACCACCGCTTAAAAAAAAGAAAAACATAAAACCCTAAACCCCAAGCCAAAGCCAAAAGCCCCAAACCCCCTAAAACCTAAGCCAAGCCCCTAAACCCTAAACCCGAAACCCTATCCCCATTGCCATGAATCCTATAAGCTCCAACTACAGTCCTGGAATCTTTAAAAGCCGGACTACCGAAATAGACCAGACCTCTTTTCAGGGCTCCTTGATAGGCTTGAGGATTCTAGGGTTCTAGGGAGTTCACCCAAAACAATCACCCAACTCCCTTACTTACACGCTTCAGGTGCCCTCTCAAATCCTAGCAAGTCTTCGAATGGTTGCGATTATCCATCTGAGGGCCCCTCAACAAGTCTGCAAAACCTTATATGCCCACTACCTGTAGCCCCAAACCCGGAAAAAAGAGTTGCCCCATAGATAATTGTGGGATATATGATATAAACACTTAACATAACAGGTATTCGAGCATCAGCCATAGAAGTCCCATAGGAGCCTTCTAAAACCCTCAGCGTGCATGCACCCTCACTTAGAACCGTAAGACCTAACCCACCCAAATCGCCTAAACATCGCTAGACCTATAGCGCCCCAATCCGCAAAGGCCCCCTGAAATCCTAAATCCTAAACTGGACCCTTAATAAGCTACCTTCTTAAGGCCGTATATAAGAAAATCATACGGAACCCTGCAAAGGTAGGTTCTTTAGGGTCCAGGTAAAGCATAATCCCTGAACCCTCTAAAACCCCAAACCTGAAGGACTAAATCCCAAAACCCTGAACCCTATAAACCCTAAACCCTAACTCCCCCAAACCCTATAAACCCTAAAAGCCTTAAGCCCTATAAACCCTATGAGCCCTATATACCCTATAAACCCTAAACCCTACAAACCCTATGAGCCCTACGAACCCTATGAACCCTAAAAGCCCTAAACCCTAAATCCCCAAAGCCCTGAAGGGTATTCAAACGGAGATCACCTGGCCTTGGTCTCGAGGTTCCTTGGCTTGTGAGATTTTGGCTGGGATTTAGAAACTAATGTAGGGGCCTAACTAATTACCTGTACTATTTTGGGAGTTCTTTATGACACAACCCTAGTCTACTAATATTAGGTGGAGAGTGTATTTGATGGGCTTTGAAGAGTTGTTTGCTTCATGAGCTGCGTGTAAGCTTCGTTTAAAGTTCTTATGGAATTTAATGAGGATGGTCGAATTCTGTTCGTCACGTTTTCAGGACCTTCGTTTCCTAACCTACACCGGGAAAGCACAAGCATCTACAAGGTTTCCAGGTGGGTTTCGCGTTTTGGGGGCCCTTTGAGGGGTCTCCCTAACCCTAAGCCCTAAAACCCTGAAGCCTAAAACCCTGAAGCTTAAACCCTAAAACCTAAACCCTAAAACCCAGAACCCTAAGCCCTAATATCTCCCTAATACTACCGAGGATTACACGAAGCTTCGAGCGCCCTGGGAACTTCTTGGCCAAGCCCATCACCCTCGTGCCAACTTTAAGGTTTGGGGTTCAGGGTTTGGGGTTTGGGGTTTAGGGTTCAGGGTTCAGAGTTTAGGGTTTAGGGTTTATAGTTTAGGGTTTAGGGTTCAGGGTTGATAGTTTAGGGTTTAGGGGTTTAGGGTTCAGGGCTTAGAGTTTAGGGTTCAGGGTTTAGGGTTCAGGGTTTAGAAACGAAAAGTCAGCTCGTAAGTAATTAGGCCCCAAGAGAATCCCTCCACGAGCAGGACAACCCGCCACCAGCATGTACTGCAGGGGTTTTAAGTTCAGGGTGTGCACGGTTTTTTTGCTACCAAGTCGCATCATCTCCTCTGCAGTCGCATTTTGGATCTTGCTGGCCCTGGCAGGTGGAAATCGTCTGAGTTACGCTGGAGAAGGGGTTTCGACTCGAACGCTCGCACTAGGCACAAGGGGTTTAGGCTTTAGGGGTTTAGGGTTAGGGGTTTAGTGCCTTAAGGTTGTCGAAAACTTCGAGTCAGTAGAGCCACACGGTCTTTAGAAGACCAGTGAGTTATAGCATGTCCAACTTTCCCTAAACCCTAAACCCGTTTAGGGTTTAGGGTTTAGGGAATTTTTTGGGGTCTACATCAAGTCCCAAGTAAAACCCCTTTCAAAAATAGACTCTGCACACGACTCCTCCCCTTAGGCCCTTGAGCCCCTGCGGAGACGATCTAAGGACGACCACAGCGCCTCTACGCCGCCAGAAGCGGCGAATACAGGGGCCTCAATAGATAGGACAGGTGTAATGATATATCGGGAGCATTGAAAAGCATCTGTAACTGCTTAGAGAAATCTCATCATGATGTACTATTATGTACTATGACTATAGTACTATAGCCCCTAAACCCTAAACCCTAAACCCCTAAACCCAAACCCCTAAACCCCTAAACCCTAAACCCCTAAACCCTAAACCCTAGGGCCCTACATAGTAGGTACCT